TATTTTGTATATCTGCTTGGATCCAGAACATTTTCCATGTTTATAGATAGGCTGATCAAATTCATTAGCATTTAAAAATGATTTGGATGATTCCAGAATTGTTCCTACATTGTTTTCGAACAATTAATCATTCATACAGGATTAGTTTGTGTGTCTCATTAGTACACACCTTCATCTCATGTATGTGTAGTTTTTTTAATTCGTCGTCCCTTGTCTGTCTAGACTAGAAGCCCCACTGGGATGGTGATGCGGGCTTCACTGGAACGTGGACTTTGTTTGGTCCCTTGCTATTGCTCTGCATCCTGAGCAGTGCCTGACTTCTCGTAAACACTGTCAGTATTTATTGAATGAATGAATTATAGTTTCATTCATTCTACAAAGAAATAGAAGTGGTCATTAAGAACAGTTACCTTTATCTGTGCACACACATAGAGAGAAAATAAATATGCTAACACCAAGATGTAATATTAATATCGTTATGCATTACCACTTAAAATTTCCAAAATTTCTGCTTAAAATAAGCTTTTATTCATTCGATATCATAAATCTGTAAAATGTGGGCTAGGATGATACAGATTTTATTTTAGCATCTGCTAATAATTGCACATGAGTAGTTGCTGAGTGTCAGAGAATGCTGTACGAGGCATGATTATAGGTTTTATGGTAATATTTGTGGTAAAGTAAATTTTGGTTAAGGTATGTTTATGCACGCATTGCTTTGCGTTATGAAATTTAGGATGCCCATTTTGGCAGCATGGAAAAAAAAACTCTCTCTTGAACAAAATACTACTATCATTTAAAATTTATTAAAGCATTAGTTTTGTCTAGGTAATTTTGTTCTAGTATTTGGCAGAATGTTAGAAATATTATTTACCATGGGAACCAGCAGTTAGCATAATGGCTATGTCGCTGGACTCCCACGTAGTCGACCGCAGTTCGCGTCCTGGACACGGTGGCTTAAAACTCACACCAGGCGCATGTGCGTGCGTGCCCAAGATCCCAGGAGGAGAATGGAGGAGAAGGGATTGCGGCGTGACCATCCCCCCTGGGGGGTGATTTCTCGCTTTCTGTCTCTATGTCTCTCTCTGTCTGTCTGGTGAGTGCACGCGCCCTATAGTGAAAACCTCTCAAAAAAAAAATATTATTTAACATATTAGCTATACTAGTTTGTACGTTAAAAACAAGCCATGGATTTTTTTTTTAAGAGGGTTTTGCCTTAGGGTGCATATGCTGGGGGCGTGGGGGTGGGGAGACAGAGACAGTGAGAGGGAAAGTGAGAAATCCTCCCCCAGGGGGTATGGCCGTACTGCAGTCCCTCCTCCATCCTCCTCCCCAGATCTTGGGCACACACACACATGTACCTAGTGTGAGTTTCAAGTCACCAGGTCTGGGACTTGAACTGTGGTCTGCCTTGCAATAGTCCAACAAAGTAACTTCTACACCATCTGCCGACCTTAGCCACAGAATTTTTTTTTAGAACTCTATGAGCTTGCTTCTTTTTAGTTTTTTTTTTTTTCTTTGTGACTATAGGATATGTGTGCTTGCCAGAGAGAAGACAGAGAGACAGAGAGAGAGAAGTAAGAAAGCAACCCACCTCCTCCTCAGGTGGGGCGAGGAGGAGATGACCATGCTGCAATTTCTTCTCCTTCATGCACATATATGTCTTCAGTGTGCTTTTCAACCTGCCAGTGCTGGGACTTGAGCTACAGAATCACCCATGTGGGATCTGGCTGTCATAACCACCACATTATCAGTTTGACCCTGTGGTCAAGGAAAGGAAAATAATGTCAAAGTTTGGTAATTTTGACACCGAAAAATGCAACTGATAAACAAACTGAAGCCAAAATAATTAGTGTCTCTAAGTATTAATACTCAAGATCAGTTTAATTAAAAAGCAATTCAAGGGACCAGCAATTGGCATAATGGTTATGTTGCTGGACTCCCATGTAGTCAACTGTGGTTCAAGTCCCAGACCTGGTGGCTTAAAACTCATGCCAGTCACGTGTGCATGCATGCCCAAAATCCTGAGAGGAGAGTAGAGGAGAAGGGACTGTGGCATGGCCATCCTCCCAGGAGGTGATTTCTAGCTTTCTTTCTCTCTGTCTCTGTCTCTTTCTGGTGAGTGCATGCGCCCTAAAATAGAAATCTCTAACAACAACAACAACAACAACAACAACAAAAGACAATTCAAGAAGAATATTTTATCATAAATACTATTTATTTAAAGCAAAGTATTTCTTTTGATTTCTTGATAAAAATCACCTCAAATTTGTGGTAAAATATTTTAACTATTAATGCATTTATCATTTTCATCTTTGAATCATCTTGTGTTGTAATAACATAAAAAGACAGAGGTGCTGGACACAAGGAGGAAACTCAGGACTAGGATGGGAAACCGATCCACTGGCTCCTCCCATTCCTTTGGGATATTTTTTGCTTAAGTAACACTTGCTTTAGAGCAAGAAAAGGTTAAAACATCCATGCTGCTTCATGGCAGATGATTAAGCTAAAAATGGAAAGGTTGACACCAAACATTGAATCTTGTCCCTGTGGCAAGAGTAAGAGGAGGGGAGACTGTCCTTTCATCTTCTCTTGCATCATAACATTTAATGCCCATTTCTCACACATTGACCATATGGAGCCCATTCTCTTAAACCGAAACAGTCTTTAAAAAGAATTAGCACAGAATCTGGGTAAATTAAGGTTTGAGACCTACTGAATCTCTAAAATAAATGTTTATTGTTTCTGGGAGTTAATTGTGTTATGAAATAGGGACATTATGTAGAGGATATCTCTTTCAAATGAAGAAACTCTTTTGGTAAAATAACATGATTGATACACATATATATACACACTTATGTTTATGTAACATGTGCATGATGATTGCATATATGTGTGTTTATATATACAAGAGCACACATACATCCACACATAGCTTGTGTACATGTGTGTGAATCTTATGTCTCTTGGAAACTCTTCATGTGAAGATTGATTCTAAGTATAACATCGGTCTAGTGATTAGAACAGTAAGATATCATTTCAAAGTTTTAAAATTCTTCAAGTTTTGTCTTTTGAATCTAATTTATACCTTTATTGTTTTAATGGCAATTTTTTTGTTGGGGGGAGAGGTTTTTGCTATAGGGCGTGTACGCTCGCCAGAAAGACAGAGAGAGACAGAGAGCCAGAAGGTGAGAATCCCCCCCCCCAGGGGGAACGGCCACACCACAATCCCTTCTCCTCCATTCTCTTCTCAGGATCTTGGGCACACACGCACATGGGCCCGGCATGAGTTTAAGCCACCGGGTCCAGGATTTGAACCACAGTCGGCTACATGGGATTCCAGCAACATAGCCATTGCACTAACTGCTGGTCCCTTTAATGGCCATTTTAAGTAAAAAGAAAACACCCCCCATTTCCTTCAAGAACATCAATATAAAAACTTAATTCTTCTTGTCTGTTGGTGATAACATGATATCCTCAGCTGGAGTGGTGTAAGGTGTATTTGTGTTGGGTAAATACACTTTACAAGCCAAGTGATATATAGTGATTGAATGTATAAAATAAATTAAAACAATAATAAAATCATTAAGATGCTAAAAAAATAAATAAATTAAATAAATAAAACACCCAGGAATAAAATTTAGAAAATTAAAAAAAAAAAACACTTAATCCTATAAATCTGCATGCATACTGAAAATAATGGGTTCTACTAATTCTGTGCACATGGACTGGTTTTCACATGGTGTTCCTCAAGCCTAAACTATTTCCTAGCAGTAGAAAACTGTAATTATCCTGTTTCTAGTAGGGTCTAGCTAAATGCATTAAGAATATGCTTTCTGACCTCTGTGATTGCTATTTTTTACTCAGGATTATCAAGAGGAAATTGCTGTTGCTCAAGAGAACAAAACACAGCTCCAGCAAATGGGAGAACGACTTGCTAAAGCCAGCCACGAAAGTAAAGCATCTGAAATTGAATACAAGCTTGGGAAGGTCAACGACCGGTGGCAGCATCTCCTGGATCTCATTGCAGCCAGGTAAAAGGGACCCAAGTACAGGACGCTTGTGCAGAAATCCAAAGCCTTTTCAGTCTGCCTTTTACTTCAGCTAAAGATTGCCTGATACACCCCTCTCTCTCTATGTTATCCCGTCATTTTGAAAAATGTTCATGCCTTTAATATAAGAAGCACTCTTGTGAACTTTAAAATTCTCCAATTTTTTTTTCCATTTCTGTGTCTTTTTTTTCTTTTTAAAGAATTCTTTTATTTAATTTTTAAAAAGCTATCATTATCATTATTTTTGAACTTGACCAGAGAAAGATGGGGGGGGTGGAGCAAGAAAGCAAGCCACTATGTCTGGGACTCAAACTGTGGTCATCCATATGGGAGTCCAGCGCCTCTAACAGCCACGCCACCTGCCAGCCCCTATTTTTTATTTTATATGTTTAATCACTATACGTCACTTTGCATGTAAGTTGAATTTATCCAACATAAATACACTTCTCACCAGTCCAGTTGCGAATACTAAACACATTATCATCAACTGATAGTAACCTACTTCTGTGTCCTATAAATGTCCTGTCTTTGTATTTTCCTCCTTAGTTTCTTCTCTTATTTCATGAATCTAGTATGACCTCTTGCATGGAGCTAGATGAGAGAGAATAAGATCCACACAAAACCCATACCAATGAAGCCCTAAAATAAGACATCCATGGGTTGTTCAACCTCCTATCAAAAAGAAAGGGAAACTAATGACCAGTAATTGTGAATGATTTTTTTTTCCTGCAGCAGTAAAACTAAGTAAAATTATTCCATTCCTACTATATACTTGGTTAGCAAGGTGTAGAAATAAAGCTGATTACTCTGCTTATTTGTAAAAATAAGCTACTGCATGATTGCAGTTTCATGCGTAGCTTTCATGAGAACTGTCCACAGCTGCCTTAGACCTGAGAGGAATGTTACATTCACAGTTTCTATTGCAGAGGGCGTATGTAAAGGGATAAAAGCAGAAAGAACAATATCTGAGACTCTTTACTAGCAATTGAAAATTTGATCTGATTGAATGGTACGCTCTGCAGTTTGATGTAAATAGATGTTTTGCTTTAGGTGCCCCTTGCTTCACATTGGAATATAGGCTCCTTGAGGTCAGGCAGGTGAATTGATTTCATTTGCATCAAGACCAGAACCTAAACTAAACTTAAGATGGGCTCAATAACTATTTCAATGAAAAAATGAAGAAATATTTGAGCATTTGAGTAGATGCACTTCTTCATGGCATGGCAGTCAGGAGAGTTAGGAAGTTCAAATGCTTCTGAATAATAGTCATTTAGAGCCATACTGCAGACACTTTTTAAATCTGAGTTTCTTTCCTTAGCTGTGGTGCACAAAGGGAAACATGAACTAACCTTGAATACTGTTACTTTGAACACATGGGCATGGCAATTCTAGATGCTAAGTTTGAAGACATTTAGTAAATATATTTATTTGCTAAAGGAGTTATCAAGAGTTTCTAACTCAAGAAAAAGCTGAAGTTATTATTTATGTTAGTGATAATTAAACAAAAGATAAAATAAATGGCATTTTTTTGAGAGGTTTTTGCTATAGGGCGCGTGCGCTCGCCAGACAGACAGAGAGAGACATAGAGATAGAAAGCGAGAAATCACCCCCCAGGGTGGATGGTCACGCCGCAATCCCTTCTCCTCCATTCTCCTCTCAGGATCTTGGGCACCCACACACACGCGCCCGGCGTGCAGCTTAAGCCACTGGGTCCAGGGCGCAAACCGCGGTCGACTACATGGGAGTCTAGCGACATAGCCATTACGCCAACTGCTGGTCCCCCGAAAATGGCAATTTTTAAAAAGGTTTGACAGTAGCACTGTCATAGCTAATGATTACTGATTACTGAACCCCTGCTGCAGGCTTTCCTATACATCTTTGCATGTGTTGTTCACGACTGCCTTGGAGGCGGCCATTATCATCATGCCTGTTTCATGGACGCAGAGCTGGCCGTGGCTCGGGCTTACCCACAGTCACACCCGTGTCGTGTGGCCCAGCCTGTGCTCTCTGACCCTGCAGCCCACACTCTGGAGCACTAAGCCCTCCTGCCCGTCAAGTTCGCGACTTCCTTTTCTCTGTTAGAGAGGATGTAGTTAATGAATGGGAGCGTCTTTTGTTCGTTGCATTAGTAAAGTGCTTACGATGTGGCAGTGACTGTGAGGGACCCTGGGGATCCCATGGTAGAGGCCCCTTCCCTCCGATGTTCTGGGGGGGACTGCAGATATATGAAAACATCAAGTGAAACTGAGTGCTCTGGTAAAGGTACTGTAAAGCGCTAAGTTGGAAACAAATATCTTGTCAAAATTGGTCAACAACTTAGATATATGGGCGGTTAGAATCCCATCACTATATTTAGCCTCACTTTTTAGTCACTAAAATGATAACAAAATCTTTTTTCAAAAGGAGACGTTGAAGACCTTTGTGCTATAAATATTCTTCTTAGGGAAAAACGCCTACTTGGTACACACCCCCGAGATTTTTTTCATTCAGATTCTGACTCACAGACTAACCTGCATTTCCTTGTAATCCAGTTCTACTAGTTAATGTCCTCTTCTCATTTTTAATGATGCAGTGATGTGGAGAGTGGGGAACGCTATGTGGAAAATGTTTTAAATTAACACGTGCACGTCCAGCCACCAGCTGCCATTACATAGTCATCTGGTGCTTTCTCTTCGGTCCAATGTATTTAAAATATTTTTGGATGGCTGTTCAATAAGAATTTTCTAAATGGTATTTAGTTTCCTTTTTTAAACATATACGTTAGTAAACCTGAATCAGTTATATATTAGGTCATCAGAAAAGTCATGACACATTTTTGCATAGAAAAAAGTAGAAAAATGCGTCCTGACTTTTCCAGGAATTCAATATTTAGAAGGCACGCAAGGTTTGTACTAAGATGCTTATGTCTTCCACGCTCATAGATTCTCATCATATACAGCTATAATATATTATATATATACCTTCGTGTTGTCCATTTCTAATGGTTGCCTTCAACATTACACCAGATGACGTGTCGATCATTCACACGTCCTAGAGTTAATACCACTCCCGACTCGTGGTCTTCCTGGCAGTTCCTCCCAGAAGACACTGAGCCACCACTTTCCATTTCCTTGTTTATCAGTGCTCCATTAGTGCACACACTGGTAGACAGCCGTCTCCCACACCCATCTCCAACTGTGAACGGCCAACTGGAATATTAAGTTTCTATGATTCAATCCCATTCGCAGCTCTGCCCTCTCACAACTTGTTTCTCACACTGAGTATTAAAGCAGAATGCTATCTAGTGTATGCGTTTTTGAAATTTCTGCACTGTTTTAGTGTTCTTGTGGGAATGGAGAGGTTACTTTTGAAGGTAACCGTATTTTCAAATGAACATCTTCCCTATAAATAGAAATATGAACTACATTGTCTAATTTTCAGCCATATAAGCAAAAGAGAGAGAAAAAGAGAAAAATTTACTGATAAAAAGACCTGTTACACACAAATAAAACACACACCGTATTATATCACTATTGGATAGCTTAGATCACTCTAAGTACAGAATAGATGTGTTTTACACTAAGTTTCTGTAAACTATTTTTAAAGATTATTTATTTATTACTTCTATGGGGAGAGAGAGAGAGACAGCCAGGCCTTCTCAACAGAGTACACTAAGATCCAGCCTTACCTCAGCTGACCTGATCATGCGCAGCACACCCCCAGCATACTCAGGGAGGTTCTAGAACATGAGCCCCTCTTATATCAGGTCCAGTTGTGCACCATGGCACTTACATCTGGCCCTGCACTGAGTGTTTAAACTTTCTCACCAAGCGTTTTTTGTTTTTTTTAAGGGGCAACAAAATTTTCTCAGTTTTTTTTTTTTTTTTAAGATTTATTTATTTATTTATTTTTATTATTATTTTTTCACTTCATTTTCTTTTATACATTCAATCACATTATTATTTGTCTTACAAAATAGATATATCAACAGGTGAACATTTCTCCCTAGCACAGTTGATAAAACTACAAAATATCTTCAACAGATAACACCACATTTCTTTGTGCCATTTTTCTTTTTCTTTTTAGAGGGTTTTTTTGCTATATGATGTGTTCACTCACCAGAGACACAGAAAGAGACAGAGAAAGAGTGAGAAATCACTCCCCATGGGGGATGGACACGCCGCAATCTCTTCTCCTCCATTCTCCTCTCAGGATCTTGAGCGTGCACGCACACACGCCCAGTGTGAGTTTCAAACCACTGAGTCTGGGACTCAAACCTCAGTGGACTATGTAGGAGTTCAGCACTTTAACCACTATGCCACCTGCTGACCCCTTACTCAGTCATTTTTAGAGGTCAACGGGTAATGTTCTAGCATTCTTTTCATACTCTGTAGACTTGTTCTGTCCAACACAGTAGTCACTAACAACATGTGGCTATTTAAATAACCTGAAATTGAATAACGGTAAATTGCCCCCTAGTTTTAGTTACAATCGTTGCACTAGCCACACTTTGACTACTCAATAACCACACGAGGTTTGTGACTAGTTTATTCGACACAGCAGATACAGATACATCATTATGTCAGAAATTTCTATCAGTCTGCAACCGCCTAGACAACAAAAGCATTTCTGAGTCCTTGGCTTTCATTAAGAGTCAACCTAAAAATTGCCATGGGTGAAACAGCGCCATGATTTCTGTAGAACTGTCCATCCGAGGATGCCGGCTCTCATTTTGTCAGTGAACCCTATGCCGAAACCCATGTCACAATTTCTCCAGAGCTTAAGATCAGCGGGGAATCCATCCTTTTGCATCAGTTGCTCTGTGCTCTTCATAAGAAAGGAATTTGCTAACATTTTTTGTCTTAGTATCTGAGAAAGTCAGATTCAACTTGTTTGAATTTTAAAAAAAACAACTGGATTTCTAATGGACTATATACCTCCTCTCCCTATCAATCTAAATCCCTTTCACCAAAACAAAAGCTCTTTTTTTAATAACAACAATC